AGAGAAGCCCTGACCCACAAACTGGGATTTTGTTTTTCAATTTATTTGTTTATTTTTCATATACTTGAAGAGAGAGAGAGAGAGATCCCCAAATGTCTGTAACAGCTAGGCCAAAGCCAGGAGCTAGGAACTCTATACAGGTCTCCCACAAGATGGCTTGGGCCATCGTTTATTACTTCCCAGAACTCATTAGTAGGGAGCTGATTGGAAACAGCAGCAGGGAGGTGAACCAGCTCTCCACTGTGCCACAGCACACCCCTGAACTGGAATATTTTTACTCTTCCAGCTCAGTATCAAAGGAAGAGGTCCCCTTGCTTCACACTCCCAGCCTGGCCTTGTTCTGGGTAAAATCCCCAGAGTGATACTGTGCTGCTGGATCCTTCTGTTATCCTCTTCCTCCAGGAACACAGCTGTTCTCCCTCCCATCCCGGGGGCACACCCCCTCCCCCCCGAGACATCCTGGCTGTTCAGAACCTGCTGGGGTTTTCATGCCCTGGTGTAGGTCTGCTCCTTTTACTGATGCCCCGTTCCTCTTTCCTCCCAGCTTCCCCACAACCGGAGATGTTTTCTAGCCTGTTTCTGGATGATAATCCCGATGAGCCTTTTTGTGCAAAGAAAAATTACTTGAGAATAATGAGAACATCTTAATCATGCTTGATGTATACCTGATGGATTTACTTTTGAAAACAGTTAGGTGTACCATTATCATAACAGTATTGCAGAAGACTCTTTTTGCTTGCATCACCAGTCTCTCTTCTCACAGGGAGATGATCAGTGTTCTCCAGCCAAAGGCAGCTGGCCAGGATCACTGATCTACTCCCTGCCCGCCCTCCCTCTCATCTTCCCTGTCTTTCTTGTCTCTTATCTTCTGTCGTCTTGTTTGTGTTGCAGAGTTCTTGTGGAATCCCTGTTAGGGATTCACTGTTAGCCTTCCTGCATCTATCATGAGTGTTTTTAACATCCATAAGTATACGCCTTCACCATCATGTTAAATGGCTGCTAAACTATGTCCATAACTCTGCCATAAGGTATTTAACTAATCTCCTAACGTGGGACATTCTGATTCTTTTCCAACTTTTTGTGCTGTTACAAGTCATTCTGGTCAATGGCCTTGTTAAGATCTAAGCAACTGCTGCTCAGTTATTTCCTGCTTGTTCACCCCCGCCCCCGGTTTGCCTCCTCAAAGGATTCTAGTAGGTGCCGGCTCTTCCTTTCAGAAGGACATCGGCCAGCATGACGTTTAAGTGAATTTAGGGATTTTTCTATAGAATGTGAGTATAGTACCTTGGATTTTAAAGTCAGCCTACCTTTGAATCCATGTTCTACCATTTGCTTGCTGTGTGACCTTGGACAAGATATCTAACCTTTCTGCACTTCAGTTCTTTCACCTACGATATGAGACTATTACTAGTGCTTGTCTCATAGAGTTGTTTTAGGGGTTAAGGAAATGACGTGTGCATGGCCGGCGCCACGGCTCACTAGGCTAATCCTCTGCCTTCCAGTGCCGGCACACTGGGTTCTAGTCCCGGTCGGGGCGCCGGATTCTGTCCCGGTTGCCCCTCTTCCAGGCCAGCTCTCTGCTGTGGCCAGGGAGTGCAGTGGAGGATGGCCCAAGTGCTTGGGCCCTGCACCCCATGGGAGACCAGGGTGGCTCCTGCCATCGGATCAGCGCGGTGCGCCCGCCGCAGCGCACCGGCCGCAGCGGCCATTGGAAGGTGAACCAACGGCAAAGGAAGACCTTTGTCTCTGTCTCTCTCTCACTGTCCACTCTGCCTGTCAAAAAAAAAAGGAAATGATGTATGCAAATAGCATAGAAGAAAACCTAGCGTTTAGTGCATTCTCAATCAACATCACCTGTAATTGATTATAAGAAGCTCACTTTGTCTTTTCATGAAAATATCATTATGGATAGAACTTCATTTTTTTGCAAGGAATCTAGGAAGCAGAAAGTTGTATGTCCAGTGGTTTTCAGGGAATAAAGCAGGTATTAGGAAATATGGCCAGTTACCAAAACTGATAATATGATGGAACTGCTGAATTAGGTGCCAAGGTGTCTACGATTTCTCTTTTGTAAGTCAGTTTGGTGGCACTAAATACAGTCACCAAACATCTGACAACCAGCTACTGTCAGCCAGACCCCACGTGGGGTCCACCTAGATCATCTGTGATATTTCTTGTCCTTATGGACTAAAACGTGATAGTATATGTTTCATTTTACTCTTCCCCTAGAATGTTTTCCTCGTCCTTCTTTTCTCCTAGTGAAAGTAGAGACAAAGAAAATTTCCTGTTGCCTCAGTCGTTTCGCAAAGCGCAGACTTCTCTGTACTCCCTTGACCTCCTGAGCGTTGCTTTTCGGTAAACCGTCCAGCAGGGTTCTGGCAGTGGGGAGACCCCTCAGTGGGAGCAGGGCCTAGGTATGAACTGGGGAGCTATTTTTGGAGATAGGAAAATGTGGGGAATTTGAGGTCATTCGTTCACTCTTGACTATGAGGAGAGTACATTGGAAACATCTGAATTGAACATTTTTCTGCATTTTAATTATTGGACTGAGTCATTGCTTGGTAAGAAAATAAATTCAACAATAAATCAAATGTATGAAGGAGAAGCCAGGCATTTTTCTTATCTAAAGAGGTTCTGTAGTCTCAAACACTGAGAACAAAACTGCACGTCCAAAGGCCTGATCTTCATTCTTAGTCATATGCCAGACTAATCAAGTCCCAGAAAGAGCAGAGTGATTCAGTCCTTTTATTTAGGCAGAATTTCTCGGGATCATGTCCTTGATCCTCCTTGCATCCTATACTGTGACTGTGTGGGACAGGAATAGCCAAAGCCCATTGAGGTTGAGGGGCTTTACAGGTGGTCTCTCAGCGAATCAGCAGACTGGTATACGACAAAGCCTCCTTGTGAGCTAGTGTTCTACTTCAGCCTTATACATCCTACAACATATTCTTTATGAACAAATAATACAGAAGTTACTTTCCAAAGAGAAAACAAGAAAGAAGGATTGGTTAACCATTGCTTCCAACTTAATATCTGCTGGAAATTTTACAGACACTGCAAACCATGAAATGCTTTCATTCCAAATAATGGGTCCATCCTAGAACTCACGGTGATTTCCAGGCCTTCAGAATTTCTGCTAAGTATTCAGGGAAGATACAAGAGATAGATATTACAGTTTTTCTGAAGCCTTGTGACATGGGACTGTAAGTCCAAGCCTCCTTGTGGGCTACAGGTGAAAGTAACCACCGCGACTATGTCACCTCAGTGTCCATTATGACAGGAATTCCAGCTGTGATATGGAATATTGTATAAGTATTAAAAACGAAAGCTTGGGGTCAATGTTGTTACACAGGATAAAGCCAACGCGTATGCTGCCAGCATCTCACATGGGAGCTGGTTCAAGTCCCGGCTTCCAATGCAGCGCCCTGCTAATGGCCTGGGAAAAGCAAAAGATGATCCAGGTGTTGGGCCCCTGAAATCCACACGGGAGACCTAAATGAAGCTCTTGGCTCCTGGGTTTGGCTTGGCCCCCAGCCCTGGCTATCACAACCATCTGGGAAGTAAACCAGCAGATGGAGGATCTCTCTCTCTCTCTCTCCCTCCCTCCCTCCCTCCCTCCTTCCCTGCCTCTCTCTCTCTCTCTAACTCTTTTTAAAGAATCTCTGCTGCATAAAAGTATCTGTGATAGATTCTTTATAATAATCATGACACAGGAAAGGGGGCACACAAAGCCCATGCCACTACTTCTTTTTTTTCTTTTTCTTTCTTTTCTTTTCTGTTTTTTTTTTTTTTTTTTTTTTTTTTTTTTTTTTTTTGACAGGCAGAGTGGACAGTGAGAGAGACAGAGAGAAAGGTCTTCTTTTTGCCGTTGGTTCACCCTCCAATGGCCTCTGCGGCGGGCGCACCGCGCTGATCCGAAGGTAGGAGCCAGGTGCTTCTCCTGGTCTCCCATGGGGTGCAGGGCCCAAGCACTTGGGCCATCCTCCACTGCACTCCCTGGCCACAGCAGAGAGCTGGACTGGAAGAGGAGCAACCGGGACAGAATCCGGCACCCCGACTGGTACTAGAACCTGGTGTGCCGGCGCCGCTAGGCAGAGGATTAGCCTGTTGAGCCGCGGCGCTGGCTGCCACTACTTCTTAGAACATCCTGAGGAGTTAAGGTGCATCCCAGACTCAAGAATGAGAGAAGAAGGACACATGCTACCATGAACTCAGCCAGGACTGCAGAGTGGAAGTCCCTCCAAAGAGTGGGGCTTTGTTTTCCATTTTGTTATTGTAGAATAGATAAAACAGGAAAGTAATTGTAAGCAGAGAAGAAAGAGGAAATAAGAGAAAGAAAATGATCAGGTAAGCCCTGGTAGAAGCAGTGAGGAGCCCAGCACCTTGAGAAGGAGTAAGGATATTATCCAAATCGTAGGAGAGTTCTCCTCTAAGGAGAAGGCAAAAGACACCCAAGGAGTCTGCTTGTCACAGCCTGCTTTCTTAGTCTGCTTTACTGGCAGAGCCAAGGGTGGTGGTAGGCTTGCCGGGTGTGGGAAGGTCTGCAGTGGCCAGCGTGAAGAGTCTACCTCAACCAGGAATGTTGAAAGGATTGCACAGCATCATTGAGGTGCCAGCTGAGACTCAGTGGCATGAATTTTTAATGAAACTCATACACATTTTTATTTTTCACTATTTCCCCAGCAATGTAGAACCCAGGCACAGGGGCAAAGAAACTCAAAGTTGGCCAGAATAAATGGACTGTAGAAATCAAATTGCTGAGATTGTGAAGTTGCAAGTGAAAATTCATTGGAAATTAGTCAAAGAATTGCCTATTACAGATCTCACTTTGTCCATCTATTTCTTTCCCCTCCATGTCAGGAGTCAAATCAGATAACGTGTTTCTGTAAAGAAGTGGGGATGCTGTCTTGTGTTTCAGTGTTAACCAGCCAAGTAATACCATTAGAATCTCTCAAGTTTCCAGCTCATAGTTGTTTCTCATACATTATGTATTTTTTTAGGCTGGAAAAACTAATAGCATCCTTTTTGGAAGACCAAGATCCAGAGAGTAGACTAGAGGTTGGCGCCGATATGCGTAAAATTCATCACTGCTTTCATCATTTAAAGGTACAGTTCAGTGTCTCCTGCAGCCAAAGCCATTTTCTGCCATGATCAAACTGCAGTCACAGCTTTTCTGGGTGACTAAGCTTTGGAATGCTAGTACCCAGCTTCACACGTCCAGCAAATGGTGTGATTCTTAAACCAATGCTGTGATTATCACTGAGTTTCTTCAGAGCCTGGATCTTACTTGGCAGTAAATAGGCTCAGACCGTGGATATGCAACTCGTTTGCCAGGACTCTCTGCTTCTTATACAAAAGGGTTATTTGTTCAGAAAAGCACTTACTTTCAAGCCGTACCAGTCCTGTATTATTGTTTTTCAGCAGTTTCGATTTATCCATGTAATTCCTTGGTTTTTCTCTGCCTTAGATTTTAATTGTGATAATGAGAGAGTAAGAGGACCGTAAAGTTTGACTTCTACCTCATTTGTACTTTTGCATACTTCATTGAGATAATAAGCATTTGTATGAGTACTATGGGCCAGGCAGAGGGAGGGCAAAAGGAAAAACATAAGGAAGTCACAGAGGAGACAGAAATGTAAAGAATAATCGCAACACGTGTGAACTGCTGTCATACGAGTGTGGCTTCAGTGGCAGTGCAGAGAAAGGGGAGGAGGTCCAGGAGGAGGTGAAGTTGGAGGGAGGAACAGGTGGGCTGGGGGAAAGGGGAATAACAAAGGCCAGGGGAAGGGAGAAGATGTGTGAGCCAACAAAAGGCAACTACACGCAAAGGCAAGGGAGCACGAGAGGGCACTCATGCCTGATGCGTGCAGGAAGCCGTGCCGGGGAAAAGTCAAAGAAATGTGGATGAGAGATGTGGACACCGAGCTCTCGTCTTAACTTTCAGAAACTACTGAATGACAAGAAGATCCCTGAGAAGAGTACAGTCCCCGCTGTAATCAAAAACCAAGACTGCCAAGAACCAGTACAGGAGGAAGAGTACCGGAAGCTCCGGGACATACTGACACAGAGAGACAACGAGATCAGTATCCTCTTTAAAGGGCTGCGAAACTGTCGCTGGCCTGGCGTGAGCGGGGAGTGGGGACAGTTCCGTGTCCTGCCCAGGCCACATCCCTGAGCGCCACACCCTGCTCCTGCCTCACAGTGCTTCTTTGCGTGGAGGAGTGGAATGTCCCTTTAGCAGACAAAGCAGAGCAGGTTGTTTTTAGCCTGCTAAAATTACTGACAATTTTGGGAAACATTTCTGTTCATTGAAGAGTATGAGCTTTTTCTACACCACCTCTCGACATAATTTTTTTTCCACTCTTCTGTGGTGTTCTTTCTGTTTTAGTCCTGAGCTAGTAAGTTAGCTGGATATCTTTAGCCAGCTGACCAGACACCAGGCTGACCACAGCCTCACCGTGGCCCAAAATTTGTGGCTGGCGTGTGGGTAAAAGTCAAATGATGGCTGAAAACTGACAAAGGGTATTTATCTTACGAAGAGCAGAGATTGATTTAAATGTAAATTTTATTTCTAAGCCAGATCTACTGCTTTGGCTGTGCATCTACATGTTCCCAAAATTGGTAGAGAATGTTGATGAGTATAGGTGAGTATAGATGAGCTAGAATTCTTAATGACTCCAGGAGGCAGTGGATTTTGCATGCTAAAAGAGGTGGCAGCCCATGGGAGCTTGGGCTGCCTCCAGTATAGACAAAGTAGGTGCTTCAGAGACCCCTGTTGGGTTGGTTAGACTTCAAGACCCCCTAATATCACTTCAGTATCATTTCTCATTTTATTTTTCAAGCTTCTTATAAGAGATTTGGCAACACTACCATGATGTCTGTAACATTTAAACACATGTAAGAAACCATTTTGGTCAGTTCATTATAAACAGATATTTATGTTCATTTTTTTAAAAAATGATAGAAGTCAGATGCTCCAACTAATGTGCAAAATGCATGGAAATCATCCATGTAGAGGAAATCTAGCAATAAAGAGGCAGGAGCAAAATAAACGCCAGTTAGGCACAATGCCTGATTAACTTGAGTCTCTAATTTTAGTTGACACTTAGCAGACCCTGTTTGTGGGATGTGAGTGAGTTTTAACTGCTTTGTTATCCAGCCAGTAACAGTAGGTTAGACTGTGAATTCCACCCACACACAAGCCTGGCCTGTGAGTGCTGCCCACAAGTGTTGTCACCCTCACATTCCTTTTCTTCTCTCTTACCCCATCCATCTCCAGGAATGGTCCCAGGCGGGACCTCAGTCTGGCCCCAGCCCCAGTCTGAGCTCTGCTTCTTTTCCTGGCCTTGTTCCTAGTCTAGGATCTTCTGCCCTAAATACTCCTACCAACTTCTTAATCCCCTTCTGGTTTTATGAATGTCTGTGCATATAGGAGGGTTGAAATGAGACATGACAGGGGAAAGTCCAGGCTTGTGCATATGTGTCTATTTTAAAAGGACAGTGAAACAGAGACATACATCATCTTCCTCTTTCCAGGTACACTGTTCATGTGGCTCCACCAGGCTCTTTACTGACTGTGAAAACTCAGCATGATTCCCTCCATCTGAGACCCATATTCAAAATGATGATGTGTAAGGAAGTACAATGAAAAGAACACTGTATGTGAATTTATAACTTGATGGAAATCCTAGCCCTGCATTTATTAGCTCCATAATTACTCAATGAAGCTGTTTCCTATTCTTAGGGAGCAGGAGCATAAAACCTGCCCTGCTCACCTCAGCATGCTAAGCGAAGCTGGTAAGTGCTCTGAGCACTATGAAGTGTTACGTAATGGGAGCTATGACTCTGTAGACAATGGGTACACTCAGGAGAAGGAACAATTGCAACGGAGATTTAATCTTATGCTTCGCAAAGGCTAATGACTAAGAAAGGTTCTTGAAATCTCAAAGTTACTCAACGTTGGCTCAGAACATATTTTCGTATCTTTCTTTTTAGAACCCAGAAGGCTAAGGCTGTGATGGGAGGAATGAGAAAGATATGACTTCCAGAGGCAAAAAGTAATAGTACTTGAGTTCACCAAGGTAATAAGGTAGCCAAAATGAATGTGAATGATATTGCACATGCTTGGAAAGGGAGAGAAAATGGTGCAACTTCAGTGACAATATCACCGTGGGTAAAGGTCAGTCATTCCTTGAGAAAACTTCCAGCAGGATGTCATTCTATGTCCACTAAGCACCTGGCACAGAGGCTGAAGTTAAATGGGGATGAGTAGGGGGATAAAAAAACCAGGAAAGGTGAGAATGGAGGCAGAAAGGAAGATGGATTTGTATTGTGATCGTTATTAAACGAAATCAGAACATGTCGTTTCTCTGATGAAAGTCTTGAAGGGAGTGAGGGTAGACATTCAGCCTAGTTGCTTGAGACACCTGCGCCCCTATCAGAGTGCCTGAGTTTGAGTCCCAGCTCCACTCCTGATTTCAGTTTCCTGCCAAACTGCACACCCTGAGAGATAGAAGTGAAGGCTCAAGTCACTGGCTTCATACCACCCACATAAGAAACCTGGACTGAGTGCCCCGCTTCTAGCCTGAGACACCGACATCCCATTGGAGTGCCATTTTCAGTCTCAGCTGTTCAACTTCCTATCCAACTATCTGCTAATGTACCTGGCAAGGCAGCAAATAACAGTTCAAGTGCTTGGGAGACCCCAATGGGGTTCCTGGCTCCTGGCTTCAGCCTGGCCCAGCTCTGGCCATTTGGGAAGTAAACCAACAGATAGAAGATATCTGTGTGTGTGTGTGTGTGTGTGTGTGTCTGACTATGCCTTTCAAGTAAATGAATACATTTTTAAATAAATACAATGAATAAAGCATTTAAAAATTTTGAGAGAGGAGCAGGCATTTATGTTAGCAATTAAAAAGCCCATGGCCCTCATTGAGGGGCTGCCTGGTTCAACTCCTGACTACAGCTTCCTGCCTCTGCAGACTGTGGAATGTGGCAGCGATGGCTTGGATACCTGGGTTCCCACCACCAAGCCAGGAGACCTGAACTGCATTCCCAGTTCCTGTATTTGGCCATGGCTCAGCCCTAGCTGTTTCAGGCATTTAGACAAAGAAGCAACAGGCGGGAGCTCTTTTCTTATTCGTCTCTCAAATTGAAAACAAACAAACAAGCAAAAAAAACCCTTCAAGGGACTTCCCATTATATTTAGAATAAACTCCAAATTTCTTGCTCTGGGTCACGAGGCCCTATATGATCTTGTCCCTACTCACCCCTCTGACTTCATTTCTTTTTTTTAAGAATTTTATTTATTTATTTATTTGAGAGGTAGAGTTATAGACAATAGGAGGGAGAGACAAAGGTCTTCTATCCACTGGTTCAGTCCCCAAATGACCACAACAGCCAGAGCTGTGCTGATCCAAAGCCAGGAGCCAGGAGCTTCTTCCAGGTCTCCCACACAGGTGCAGGGGCCCAAGGACTTGGAACATCTTCTACTGCTTTCCCAGGCCATAGCAGAGAGCTGGATCAGAAGTGGAGCAGCTGGGACTAGAACTGGTGCCCATATGGGATGCTGGCGCCACAGGCAGAGGATTAATCTACTGCACCACAGTGCTGGCCCCGGGACTTCATTTTTTACACCTCATCCCCATGTATGTTGTGCTTCAGTCATCACTACCTTCCTGTTCTCCTAGCAAGGGGTTTCCCAGCCTTGGCACTACTGACGATTATCCAGCCTTAGCTGGATAATTCTTTGCTGAGGGAGCGCACCTTTGTATTGTAGGGTGCAGGAGCATAATTGCGGCCCTGGGAACCACTACCACGTCCATTGCTCTCTAAGGACTTGGCCATTTCCTCTGTTTAAATGATTTTCCTATCGCTGGTTCTTCTAGTCATTCATATTTCAGCTTAATGTCACTCTTAGGAAGGCCCTTTTTTAGCTCTGAATAGCGATTCAGTCACTCGACCTTCCTAAAACTAACTGGCACTGTTACTCTCCATTTTGTGTGTTCACATGTATGTATGTATGTATGTGTGTATGTATGTATACACAGGAGCTGACTCCTTAGTAAGACATCTGCTCCATGAGAGCAAGGAAGTAGTTTTCCTTTCCATGGCTGTTAGTCAGTTTCTAGAGCAGTGCCTGCCTCGTAGTCCAAGTGCCAACAAATATCACAAAGTAGATAAACGAGTGGATATTGCCATTGCAGAGGATGAGCTGATGGAAATATATGATGTTCTTGGGAATTGGTTCCACACGGAGAGGAGTGGAGATGTGGGCAGAGTCATGTCCTTCTCTGTCCAGCTGATTACCAGACACTGAGATGTTATGAACACCCTTGGCAAGTGCACGTTTTGTTGAGGCAAGGAAAGGAATCCACATCAGGAGTTGTGAGAGAAAACTGATTATGCTTCTAGAAATTACCAACGCGTTAGAATTAAAACTGAGGAGGAAGATAGAGGTCTAATGATTTCCATTTACATGCCAAAGAGTTCAGTGTAATCTGAGTACTTCCCCTCCTCTGTCTGAGTGGTCCTCTCCCACACCATCCCACACTTCCTTAGACTCTTACGTTAAGGAAGTCCTCTCTAGGGATGGTGAGGCCTTAAATTCCTCTTTCTGCATTTGCAGTTAGAGTTCTGAGATTATCAAGAGGGCTTATAGAGAGTCTTCCCTCCAGTGGAGGGTGGGACAAATATCTCTTAGCATTCTGGACACCTTGAACCCAGAATGAGCAATGAAGTATGGTGGAATGGAGTGTTTTCTCACTTACTATTTTTTTTTTATTTTTTTGACAGGCAGAGTGAACAGTGAGAGAGAGAGACAGAGAGAAAGGTCTTCCTTTGCCGTTGGTTCACCCTCCAATGGCCGCCGCGGTCGGTGCACTGAGGCCGGTGCACCGCGCTGATCCAATGGCAAGAGCCAGGTACTTCTCCTGGTCTCCCATGGGGTGCAGGGCTCAAGCACTTGGGCCATCCTCCACTGCATTCCCAGGACACAGCAGAGAGCTGGCCTGGAAGAGGGGCAACCGGGACAGAATCCAGTGCCCCGACCGGGACTAGAACCCGGTGTGCCGGCACCGCAAGGCAGAGGATTAGCCTAGTGAGCCGCGGCGCCAGCCTGTCACTTACTATTAATGTTCCTGGTGTATCTACACGGCTCACAAGAGACACATTTTTAAAGTGTGCTAATGAATCATTTCTTCTCAACTCCATTGAAAACAAAAATTAGAGACTTAAGTTAATTTCCCATCCCTATTTGAATGTACTCTAAGCTTGAGTTGGACATGGGGGTAGTCTTGCTGCAGTTTTGTCGACACACTGGCCACCAGCATTGACCTGGCCCACCTGCCAGCTGGGTGGGTTTCACTCTTCTCCCTGTTTTCCTCCTGCCTTCTGAGAAGCTGTGTCTTTGACCAAGGAGATGATTTCCTAGATTAAAGACTTGTTTACTCACCCATAAATAAATAGCTCCATTGCCTACTACTATCCCTTGTTCACATTGCATTTTATAATCCATTTCATAAAAATTTTAGACTTACATGGTTTAAACTCAGAACTTTTTTTTAAAGATTTTCAAATTTGCCAGTTTTTCACAGAATGCCATACTGAAAGACAACCTTCTCAATTGTCCATAACTGTATATAGGGCTTCAGGAAGCTGAGTCTTCTTTTGATCAGTCTTTACTGCATAGTAAGTACCAAATGTTATTGGGATTATTAGTTGCATTTGGAACATTTGTGTTTTGATCATTTACTCTAACATGAGTCATTGAGTCCTTAAGTCAAGTTTCAGATATTCTGGTCAACATGTTAAAAAAGGAAAAGAAGAAAGCTCAGGATGCCCTCCATCTATCTGGCATGAACGTAAGTGAACTCAGACACTCCAAGAGCTCACCTTTCCAACCCAGGAAGCCAGAGGAAGGTCAAAGGACGCTGCTGTCCTCAGCTCCCACTCAAGCCCAGGACTTCGGCACTTTTGGGTACAGATCCAATTTGCTCCACAAAAAAACAGGTTAGTTTTCTGAATTCCTAGCATTCCTTGATGTTTGCAATAGGATGTATTCATTTTAAAGGTACAAAGATGAAGGCTCCAACAATTTATTTGATAGAATTATTGTTCAAAACTAGTGGGTCTCTTAAGTTAAATACCAGTATACCAAATTGGTAACTGAGCTGAGAAGAACCAAGTATGACTTTCCACAGTATTCCTGGGTAAAATTATATGATCTGGGGCAAGAATAGAAAAATTAACATCAGCGAAAGGGAACAAAAATCTTCTGATACAGGAGGGGAAGAATGAGGTCAGAAGTCACATTACTAATGCAGTGTTTATTTCTAAACTAATGGAGTGTTTATTTCTAAATCCAAATGCACTTTCCAAAGCAAAATAACTTGGAAATACTATCACAACCTTAAAAGACAATAAACTAACAAAGCTTTGACAGATAACAGAACTGACCAATTCAGGCATTTTCTCCATGTCTATCTTTTAGTAGGTTTGACTCTACAACTACTTCAGAACTCACAGGAAGCTGGGTTGGTTTTAGGTCATCCCTCGTTCTGTTAGGCCAGCTGAGCGTGATATATAGATACGTAACCTGTGGGAAATATCCTCATCCGTCCACTCAAGAGATGGACTCAGACTCAAAAAGTGCAGTGAAAGTGAGACTTTACTAACAGTCTTGCAAGATTGGGTGTCTCATGAGCAGGCACACCCAGAGCAGTTACAGCAAGCAGTTTACACCCCAGCATGCGGGTCACTCCCTTAGTTCCTCATTGGCTGAGTACAACAGGATGTGCAATCTTCCCCAGCATACAAAGTTACCTTCCTCCTCCCTTCTCTGTTTAACCTCCTCTTAGGAGTTGGCTGTTCCTTAACATCCTCTTTGCCTAGCGAGTTTTGCTACATCTTCAAGTCAGCTAACTAATTTTCCTCTCTGTGTTGAAAATAAACCACCAGACATTTTCTTATGTGACTTATGGAATCACTGGAGTGAAGAGCTTCCCTGTGTGGCAACATAAGTTGAAATTTTGTATATGAACATTTGTTTGAGATGAACTACCTGACATGCTGGTTTTCTAAAGGATTTAGTGTAGGAATAATTAAAACATATGGTCTTCATTAGGAAGTACATTTTTTAGTTAATAAAGACAAGCTTGAGAAGTGTGGAAATATATTTCATGATGTTATATTCCTTTATCTCTTGATTCCAAATTTTCTTGCTTTGACTATTTCTTCAACAACACAAAAGTACAAATTCAAAATCTCAGGAAACCAGAAATGCAGTTTCAGACATTTATCATTTATCAGTGAAAATCAGTGATTCCTCTCTGTGACGGTTTTCTGTACAGTATGCTTTACTCTGGTGGTTGGGGAAAAGAGCCTGTCTGGACTGGTTGTGTCATCTATTTATCCATTTCTCGTTCATTTGAAATGTATTTATTGAGCACATGATTTGTTCTAGGCATAGCTCTAATTGTTATTATTACAGCCAGAGTTTAATGTCACCCTTCTATAGACAGGACCGGGTTCAACTCTAAGTGCTCTGCTTGACTTAGCTCTCTTAGTCCCTATCCTGTGGGACAAGTTCTCATTTTAGCCCTGCATTTCAGATGAGGATACATGTGTACAAACACAGCCTCTGCCTGTGCTCACAGAGTGGTGGAGAGGAGAGCCATTGAACAACTGAGTGCAGAAGTATACCTCTGCATACGGGGGAGCACATGCAAGGAGCCTGCCTCCAGTTAACACCAGAGAATCCAAACAGGACAGTGAGGGTAGAAGTATGGCGAGAAGGAATACTGAAAGCAGAGGGAATCAGTCACTTGAGTAATTTCGAAGGCCTTTGTGGTGGAAAGGAGCATTTTAGGAAGAAGCCAGGGTGTGGCTGGGCTTGGGCTGTGACTGACATGTGCAGAATGGATTGGCAGAAACACTAAGACTGCCATGACCACTTAGGAAGTCTAGGCCAGGCTGGCGCCGTGGCTCACTTGGCCAATCCTCCGCCTGTGGCGCTGACACCCTGGGTTCTAGTCCCGGTTGGGGCCCCGGATTGCTCCTCTTCCAGTCCAGCTCTCTGCTGTGGCCCGGGAAGGCAGTGGAGGATGGCCCAAGTGCTTGGGCCCTGCACCCGCATGGGAGACCAGGAGGAGGCACCTGGCTCCTGGCTTCAGATCGGCGCAGACGCCGGCCGTAGCAGCCATTTGGGGGGTGAACCAACGGAAGGAAGACCTTTCTCTCTGTCTCTCTCTCTCACTGTCTAACTCTGCCTGTCAAAAAAAAAAAAGTGGCCCGGGAGGAAGTCTAGGCCAAAGGACAGGCATGGCGAGATAGGAGGGAGCATCAGAAGCGTTGCAGAGGCCAAGTGGACAGGGCTTGAGCACTGGAAGGACCTAAGAGACAAGTCCTCTCTGATCCTCTCTAGCCTTTATTTCTCCTACTTTCTCTCCCAAGGCAGCCCATAGAAACTAGACATCCTCTTCCCCAAAGTGCATCCTAGAAACTCAACTCCACTTGCCAAAAGCCGAACATAAATGTACATATATTCTTGACCCCTACTCCTCTCTCTCTGTGTAAGAGCTAGCCATGGAGGAATTTTCTGGCCTACAGCATCCCACAGTAGGTCATAAGCTCCTCACTCCAAGTCCTGCCCCATACCAAAGAGGAAGGAATGCCACACAGAGACTCCAAGAAGAATCTGAGATTCCCCACTTCAGTGTGTTTATGGCAGATAGGATACATTTTTTGTCCAATCACACCTCTACAAGATGCTCCATTTGTCACTGAACTTAAGATTAAAAATGAGTGATTGTCCCAGGGTTTGGGGGTATTGTTTACGAAGGCTCCCATGCCACTCTGAATAAATAGGGAGCAGGCATTTAGTTTAATGGTTAAGACAGCCTGTATCCCACGCTGGGGTGCCTGGGTTCAATGACTGGCTCCAGTTTCCAGCTAATGTAAACACTCAGAGGCAGCAGTGATGGTTCAAGTAATTGAATTTCTGCCACCCACATGAGAGAACTGGATTGAGTTTCCCACTCCTGGCTCTGGCTCAGCACATCCCTTATTATTGTGAGTATTCTGGGGAATGAACCAGCAGAGGGGAGAATGGGAGCTCGGTGTGTGTGTGTATGTGTTTCCCTCTGTCTTTCTGCCTCTTGATTATATTAAAAAAAAGTTTAAAGCTGTAATCCATCTGTTAGGCTTCCCTGCTGTTAATCCTAATTGTGGAGTCATTGGTCATGAGCCCTGTGATGGGTAGGAAGAATATCACCCCTATTACCCCTACACAGCTGAAATGGGAGGTCACCTTAAGACCTCATGGTTCATGATGGAAGAGGCTCCTGTGTGTTCCTGTAGAAACGGCCTCAGCCACCACTGCCCAGCCCCTTGCTGTGTGCCAGACTTTCTCTGTTTCTATTTCTCCCTGTCCTCACCATCTTCAGCCCCATAGTTCCTCTTCTCCACAGCACCACACAGTCTCTCTCCTGACTTATAATAATAGACAACTTTTTCAGTACATTTTTTGCCCTTGCTATTACATCAAGGCAGACTGTAGTTTTGTTGGGGAATGAATTAGTTTTACTTGAATAGAAAAAAAAAAATCACTGAAAAAAAAATAATGGAAATTACCTATAAAGTCCAAGTACAAATGAGGTAAAAGTTTTGGAGAGCAGCCTTGTGTTTGAAAGGAGTTTTGAGTTGTTTTAACTGTCATCGGATACAGAGGAATAGGTCCACAAATGGACTGATAATGATCTAACCATTTGGGGGATGAATTGAAGGGGGATTGATTTTATTTTTTGGCAGAACTACAAATAGGATGAGAATTGTTGTGGATGAATCAACGTTGCAAAACAACAGGTAATAGGATATTTCATTAGAATGTTTGAGATTCTAGAGGCTGATTTGGCTTTTATTATTGCATTGTTTTATATACAAAAAGCTTGTATAAACTAAACCAAATGGAGAAACATAATAAGCACGTTGTTTTGAAAGTACATGTGTAGGTGTTGTCAGTTTCTGTTAGCCACTCCTGGAGCTGTGTCTGATGCAGAAAACAAGTACATCCGGCCATCTCTGGGACTGTTGTGAGACTGTCTCCCCTTCCACAACCCACCCCCTTCTTCCCGTCACTTCCACTTTAGGCTGAAAATGACTTTCTCCAAATGAGAAGATTCACCAGAGAGTCCCACAGAGGCATTGTGCAGGCAGCCTGCCTAGGCAGGGAGAGGTTAGGGGCTCTGGGGTTCCAACAGCCATTGCTGTTGTATCTGGGGTTAAATGTCCGTTTTGATCTCGTTGAAATAATGAGTGGGATTCTCCCGTTTTAGAGCTTAAAGAGTCATATTGTTCTCTTTAAAGCAGGAGGAGTTTTAAGGTCCTGGTTTGTGTGCATGTGTGTTTATTTATTTATTTTTACTACCATGCATTTCAAATAGTCATCTGGAATCAGTCCTATTCCAAAAGTCCCCAGGACTCATCATGTCCTTTAACTGTTGGGCATGATGATAACAGACTCCACTCATCACAGGTGGAGTCACTGGCAGTCATTTTAACAGGTGAATTGCAAGCCAAGCCAGGGGGCTCTTTTTTCTTACCCCTAGAGACTGTGTTGTACGTGCACGCCATGGGTTGCACCAACCGGAACCGGGAAATGGTCTCTGACTCTGGGAGCTTTCATTTAAATAGGGGAAACTGGCCTCGTACCCAAAAAGTGGAGAGTAAAGCAGCAAGTGCCCTAAATAGGAGCTAGGAAATGCTGTGGGATTTTGATAGGGATTGCATGAATCTCTACATCACTTTGGGTAGTATGAGTATTCCATTGGTATTAATCTTCCAATAATGAATACATATGAGAAAAAACCCTCAACACTCATTAGAGGAATACAAATTAAAATCACAATGGCATATTTACACCTCTGTCAGAGCCTATTATCAAACAAAAAGAAGAAGAAAGATAACAAGTGTTGACAAGGATGTGGAGAAAAAAAGAATCTGTCTGCACTGTT